AAGGCCGCAAGTAGGGCTGGGCTTTGCTAACGAGAAACAGTTATTTATTTCCGAGATTTTCAGTTCGAAAAAATTAACGAAAACAAATTTTTTTTTAAACTGAAACGATCATATTAGGATGGAAAAGGGATCTTTTCTCGTTAGCGATTGTCACATGTTAACAACAGGGAATAAGAATAAAGGGAAGGGAAATGGCGCTGGTCTGGCATGAGAAAGCCAGTCGCACTGCTTTGCAGACGAGATAGTTTTTAATCACGCACACTTTTATGGCACAGACACAAAACATGACTACAGTCAAGGAAATTACAGAACAATTGCTTGAATAACGAGTAGTTTATTGTATACTGTAATCAAATTATATTCTTTGCATGACAATTTGGCTTATAGTGTTGACTTAAATATATAAATAATATATTACATGTATTTTTAAGTAAACAATTAACAATAAACAAATGTACTCTCCTAAACTGTACAAATACCGAGATTTTTATGTACTGTATATACCTACAGTACACGCCTTCGGTTCGTTATTACTTACACACACTCTTTGGATACAGACACACATACATGACGTTTACACCCCCTGGTTAACAACAATAAACGCGCTGAAAAACATTAATTATAAATTACTTTCCAAATATTTTCAAAAAACATATTGAATTTTTAACAAACACAAATCGTTAATAAACACACATCGCTTACAAACACACATCGGTAACAAACACACATCGGTAACGAACACACATCGTCAATTATCACCCATAAATTATAGTTAACGATCAACAATTTTTTACTACCTGAACGTTAACAAACGGAATATTTTAAAGACAATCGCTAATCAAAAAATGGAACGAATCAGAATGATTTAAAAAACTAACAAGGAACAAACGGGAAACGAACTTTTTCCCAAATTATGAACATGCCCAGACCTAGCCGCAAGTCTTAATTGGAATAAAAAATGTGTCTACCCTATCCACGTTTTTTAAAATGTATTTGAATCCATTCCACACAATGGAGAAATTATTAAAACTCAATTTTAACTTAATGAGAATTGGTCAAATCCAAGTTTTGAAATTCTTCTTATTACAATCATTCAAAGGCTCACAATCATAGAACAGAGATTAGAATAGAAGGAAATAATCTATACCTTAGTAGCTGATAAATACCCTGCTTTAGTTCTCTAGTATCTCTATACCTATATCCTAGTAGCTGATAAATACCCTGCTTTAGTTCTATAGTATCTCTATACCTATATCCTAGTAGCTGAAAAATATCCTGTTTTAGTTCTCTAGTATCTCTATACCTATATCCTAGTAGCTGATAAATACCCTGCTTTAGTTCTATAGTATCTCTAGTAACTGATAAATATCTTGCTTTAGTTCTATAGTATCTCTATATCTGTATTCTAGTATCTCTATATCTATATCCTAGTAGCTGATAAATATCCTGCTTTAGTTCTCTAGTATCTCTATACCTATATCCTAGTAGCTGATAACTATCCTGCCTTTGTTCTCTAGTATCTCTATATCTGTATCCTAGTAGCTGATAAATATCCTGCTTTAGTTCTCTAGTATCTCTACATCTATATTCTAGTAACTGATAAATATCCTGCTTTAGTTCTCTAGTATCTCTACATCTAAATTCTAGTAACTGATAAATATCCTACTTTAGTTCTCTTGTATCTCTATATCTATATTCTAGTAACTGATAAATATCCTGCTTTAATTCTCTAGTATCTCTATATCTATATTCTAGTAACTGATAAATATCCTGCTTTAGTTCTCTAGTATCTCTCTATCTATATCCTAGTAGCTGATAAATATCCTACTTTAGTTCTCTTGTTCCTCTATACCTATATCCTAGTAGCTGATAAATATCCTTCTTTAGTTCTCTAGTATCTCCATACCAATGAACTAGTAGCTGATAAATTACCTTACGTTTTTATTGCCGAACAATCTATCCTATTCGTGTATCTATCTATCCATCTATTCTTTTATCCTCTCCCTACTAAATCTATTTTATTGAAAATCCATAAAAAAGAAAATTTTCCAAAAACACTCAATGTTTAAATAAAAAATACCAGTACTTTAGTGATAATGTATGTCGTGGTTTGGACATTGACAGTATCCATTTCTAGCATTTTATCTAGAATATATACACACATTATATATATACAGGGTGAGTCAAAAAAAAAGTGTGATTTGCGGCGCCTGGTGCAAAATTGTACCTTTTATTGTGCAACTCTCCTGTATGGTGTCTTTTCAATATTTTTTGAAAATTTGTAATTTTTTTTGGTACTCCAATGGTCCAAAAGAAAATCTGCGAATCGTTTTTTTCTCTCAAAATCAAAAGTTCAGAAAAGCAAAAATGTGCATTCATATTATTTCTCTCTAAATCTAAAATTTTATTAAGATTGAATTACAGAATCACAGAAAATTGGCAAAATTGTAATAAGAAAATTCGCAATTTTCAGTTCTGGGCTAATTTTTAAGGAAAAGTTATTTAAATTCTCTAGTTCCTTTCTTCTTAGTATATTCTAAAGTATTAAATATACGCTGCGCGCTGTTCAGTTGAAACCTAAGAACCATTGAAAAACAATTTTTCCGTAAAAATTATACCAGAATTTTCTAATCACAATTTTGCAAATTTTCTGAGATTCTGTGATTCAATCTTTTTAAAAGTAGATTTCGATAGAAACAATTTATTTACACATTTTTATTTTTCTGAACTTTTGATTTTGAAAGAAAAAAAGGTTCGCGGATTTTTTTTGGGGCCATTAAAGTACCAAAAAAAAATACAAATTTTCAAAAAATATTAAAAAAAAACACCATACAGAAGAGTTGCACAAAAAAAATACACTTTTGCACCAGGCGCCGCAAATCACACTTTTTTGACTCACCTTGTACATATCTATATATATATATAGTATTTTCAACTTTTTTCAGTTTAAATATACATTTTAGATGTTTAAATATATATTTTTTCCAAGAAAAAATGTTTCATGGATCTTACGCAATCATCAGTCGGAATAAAATTATATACATAGGGTCATTTATATAGAATATAGAATATAGATATTTCTTTTTGTAAATTTATCTATCTTTAAATCTATCTTTTTACCATCAATTTATCCATTCATTCTATCCAACTATAGATGGATGAAGTGAAGGATGAAGGAAAGGTGAAGGGAAGGAAAGTGGATGCAACAACCCTGCTTTGTGACGTAATCTTTCGGGTTTCTCTCTTCATTCTGGACATGTTCATTTGTGGAACTAGATGTATGGGTTTTCAGTCCGTTATGATAAGTTGGACCTTTTGGGATATTTGAACTACATTTTAGGGATAATTTGACATACAGGGTGTCCCACATCATGTTAGACCGTCAATGAGTCTAAATTGCGATTTTCGGGACTAATCAGAAAATTTAATCAGAATGAATCATTTTGAAAAATAAAATAAGGCTTTTATAAAAAATTTCTTACTGAAAAGCTGAGTTTTTTTTTTTTGTGTATTATGCGTTTATGTTGACGTTAAAAATTAGAGATAATCTAAAATGATATGGGACGCTCTGTATGTAATTCACTCAGTATATATATATACTATAGAATAACAGGTGGCAGCATTTGGTTTGGGAAGTGTTGGACTTTGAAGGTTATGCAGTACAATACATAAATATTCAGATGTTCAGTAATCTTTGCGGGGATTTAGAAGATTCACTTTCCCAACTTTTCCCAAAATAAAGCAAAAAAACAAATGCTTGTAATCTTGTTATATTTCATTTAATTTGTAAAACATATATTTTTAAAAACTTTTTCAAATAGTTTTCTTCCTTACAAAATGCGAAGCAGAAAACTAAAATAAAATGAAAATAAACTTCTCCGCCCCTATATATATATTCTGAGGTAATTCAATACTTTTCGGATGCGAATTTAAATTCATTTAAAGGGATGGAGGAAGGATGAAAGGAAGGATGAAAGGAAGAATGAAAGGAAGAATGAAAGGAAGGATGAAGGAAGAATGAAAGGAACGATGAAAGTAAGGATGAAAGGAAGGATAAAGGAAGGATGAAAGGAAGGATAAAGGAAGAATGAAAGGAAGGATGAAAGGAAGGATGAAAGGAAGGATGAAAGGANAGATAGATAGATAGTTAGATAGATAGATAGATAGATAGATAGATAGATAGATAGATAGATAGATAGATAGATAGATAGATAAATAGATAGATAAATAGATAAATAGATTGATAGATAGATAGATAGATAGATGGATCGAGAGATGGATAGATAGATAGATAGATAGATAGATGGATCGAGAGATGGATAGATAGATAGATAGATAGATAGATAGATAGATAGATAGATAGATAGATAGATAGATAGATAGATGGATAGATAGATGGATAGATAGATGGATAGATAGATGGATAGATAGATGGATAGATAGATGGATAGATAGACAAATAGATAGATGGACAGATAAATGGGAAGATAGACAGATAGAAAGATAGATAGATGGAGAGATAAATGAAAAGATAGACAAGTAGAAAGATAGATAGATAGCAAGATAGATGGATAGAAAGATAAATATAGATAGTTAGATAGATGATAGAGATAGATATTTGGATATTTATTTAGTTAGATAGATGGATAGATATAGTTAGATAGATAGATAAATAGATATATAGAATTAGTTGGATAGATATTTAAAGAAATAGGTAGGCAGATGTAGAATCTTATAAAGACGTTTTTCAAATTAACTCATGTTGTCGAGGAGCGTTTTGAACAGCAATGTAAATGGAAAATAATCTGCGTTTTAATCATCAGATAGATGGAGATACAGATAAATAGTTGGATAGATATTTTGATTGATAGAGAGACGGATAGATGAATATATAGATAGATAGATCGATTTTTACAGACCTTTACAACTGCTATGTTTAATATTCATTGGACTGTTTAAAACTTGAACCTTCCTATTCCACAGTTTTTGGTTTACTGTACAGTTTACATTGTAAATATATTTATCCAAGGTTATAATGCAAGGATAGTTAATTGCAGTTGCGTATACTCTGCGTACATCTTGAAACCAGTTCTCTCTGGGCGGAGTTTGTAATCAACAATAGATGCATCAGTGTTCGTTTAGTATCCGATGAGGGTAAAAGCATTTAATTTTGATAATTTTGATAATTAGTTTCCTTTGACCAGAATATTTCATTGATTTTTTATGTTAAAGATGGATTCCATGTCAGGCTGTGACATACGTCTTATGTTTACATTACCGCCCAAAGATATTACACTGCAGTACAAAAGATGCGTAAACCTCTTAAATAAATTTCCTTGCATTATTTCCTTGCATTATTCCAGATTTACAAAAATAGATGGGTTAGGATATAACAGGAAGATGCATTAAATAATGTGTACTGCAGTATCTGGGAGAAATGTAAACACATTCAGTGCCGCCAATGCTAATTGCTTTGTTTGCACTCCTCCCAGAAACTGCAGTACACATTTTTTTATGGAAGTTCCTTTTATATTCCTTGGGCTGTGTTAGTTTAGAAAAAGACTATACTATAATTATAATAGGAAAAGACTGTACTATAATTACAAAGAGAATAGAATATATATTAGAGAGGAATTTAGTCAATCCCTTGGTATGCATTTTGTCAGTCCCTTTCAGCCTGAAAGGGAGTTCAAAGTGTACAAATCATGTAAATGTTCACAAATTATATGCAGTAGAGTACATTAATACAGTATGTTCCCTAGACTATCCATTTCAATTTCGAATTTTTAAAGCTTTTAAATAAACTTCATAAAATGAATTAGGTGAATAAAAAACATCATTTGATTTATAGTTATAACGGAAAATAATCGTTTGTAAAGTGAAAAGCATAGAGAATATGTGAAATGATCATTGGTCAATTATAAAACCAGTCTAATTCATTATTTGGTTTATTTTTAATATTATGGAAACAGTACAACAAAATGGCCGTTTTACACTTTTTTCTAGTAAATTCCCCTCTAATATATATTCTATTCTCTTTGTATAATTATAATAGAAAAAGACTATACTATAATTATAATAGAAAAAACATTATAATCGTAATTTCAAGTGACCGTCCATGTAAAGATGGCACTGCCTGATTTACAACGGTACCCTTAAGCCTTACTCTGATAAAAAAAATTCTGACTCGGAAAGTTTCAAAATAATTTCTCCATTTTTTCTTATCTGAAAAAAATACGCAGGAGACTTATGCAGAGAAACGTGAAATGAACAGATAAAAAAACTTTAGAAAAATTTGAGTGGACAAAGCTGGTGCTTCCATCTTTGCATGAAAAGTCATCTAGAGGAACTGAGTTTTGCCACAAATCCGATTTTCTAATCTTTATATCTTCGCTTCCCATTGTATAAAGTAGATCTTTGATATTTCAAACTATGAACTAAAATCCTTTGAAATATCACAGGTTTAGAGTACCATCCGGTTGCAAAGATTTAGGGATTAGACAATTTGAGTTTGTGGGAAAAAAACTCAATTCCATCACTCTTGCAATCCTTTTAAAAAAATCGGATAGAATAGGATAGAACAAGATAGAACAGGATAGAACAGGATAGAACAAAATAGAACAGGATAGAACTGGATAGAACAGGATAGAACTGGATAGAACAGGATAGAACAGGATAGAACAGGATAGAACAGGATAGAACAGGATAGAACAGGATAGAACAGGATAGAACAGGATAGAACAGGATAGAACAGGATAGAACAGGATAGAACAGTATAGAACAGGATAGAACAGGACTACGTTATATTTTTTTTTCGAAAACCTTAAAGTTATATCACGTGATGTAATTCAATGTTTATACCAATTATAACAATAAATTTTAATTTTCTTTTCTGAAATTTGTTTATTATCCAGTAAATGAACCAAAAGAACTAAACGGAATTTTGACAAGGTTCGCTCCGTTTCTTGCTCCGTCCAGCCTAAGATAATAAGAACTATGAAAAAAATTATAATTGTAATTTAAAAAATTATGTTACCTGTAATTTGCTCTTTTCCATCGTTTTCCGTCGAAAACTTCAACATCGTCCAGAAACTGGAGAAAAAAAGAATAATTAAAAAAATGATTAGATTTAGAGTGTCACTAAAATAATGGAGCGGCCAAACTCAATTACTCGCGAATGCCGCAATGAATTATAATAAGAGAGAGATTAGTATTTATTTTAGGGCTAGGAAAGGGTAGGGGACCACGCGCTGCGGCTAGGAAAGGGTAGGGGACCGAGCGCCGCGGCTAGGACAGGCTTGGGCACTGAGCACCGCGGCTAAAACTAACTGAGTTTGGCCACTGCCTATAATAAAAGTGCCTAGTTTTTGAATTCGGAAATTGGAATGGAAAAAATATTGGCTCTACTCTGTTCTTCTTTCAAATGGTATCAATTTTGTTTAAGAAAAAAGTTAAAAACTTTATATTATCAATGTAAGAGAACTAAGAAAATTAAGAGAATTAAAAGAACTAAGAAAATTAAGAAAATTAAGAGAATTAAGAGAATTAAGAGAATTAAGAGAATTAAGAGAATAAGAGAATTAAGAGGATTAAGAAAATTAAGAAAATTAAAAAAATTAAGAAAATTAAGAAAATTAAGAGAATTAAGAAAATTAAGAGAATAAAAAAAATTAAGAAAATTAAGAAAATTAAGAAAATTAAGAGAGTTAAGAAAACTAAGAGAATTAAGAGAATTAAGAGAACTAAGAGAATTAAGAGAATTTAGAGAACTCAGAGAACTAAGTGAACTGAGAAAATTAAGAGAATTAAGAGAATTAAGAGAATTAAGAGAATTAAGAGAATTAAGAGAATTAAGAGAACTAAGAGAATTAAGAGAACTAAGAGAATTAAGAGAATTAAGAAAATTAAGTGAAATAAAAAATTAAGAAAATTAAGAGGATTAAGAGAATTAAGAAAATTTAAAAAATTAAGAAAATTAAGAAAATTAAGAGAATTAAGAAAATTAAGAGAATAAAAAAATTAAGAAAATTAAGAAAATTAAGAGAGTTAAGAGAACTAAGAGAATTAAGAGAATTAAGAGAACTAAGAAAATTAAGAAAATTAAGAGAGTTAAGAAAACTAAGAGAATTAAGAGGAGAACTAAGAGAATTAAGAGAATTAAGAGAACTCAGAGAACTAAGTGAACTGAGAAAATTAAGAGAATTAAGAGAACTAAGAGAATTAAGAGAACTAAGTGAACTGAGAAAATTAAGAGAACTAAGAGAATTAAGAGAACTAAGAGAACTAAGAGAATTAAGAGAACTAAGAGAACTAAAAACAAGACTTACCTCTGTATCCCCTTGTGCTCCTGTAGCTGTACCTCCTGCTACTGCTAGATTTCCTTCAACAGTTGTCATCACGTGACCTCGTCTATCAAAATTCAAGTTAAAGGAACTGAAGAGTAATTTCGAGTGACCCCCCTCCATGTATAGGGCGACACGTCAGATTAATAACGGTGCCATTTAAACCTTTATTCGAGTAAACGCGCGTCTCTCCCTTTAAACCAATTTCTGATTAAGGCCAAATAGAATATCAATATTTTTCAAGCTTAAAATTCTGGGTTCTCTATAGAAGTGACTTGTACCTTATTATTCAGAGTCTTAGACAATGAAGGAAATCAACAGAAAAACAACAACATCTACTTAATGTTACTCAGATATCGGCTGATCGTTGTGAATCAGTCATGGGCACTCTACAGTACCTTTAACATTTTTAAATTGGAGTTTTTAATCTCTCCTTTTTAAAAGACGACTTACCTTCCTCTATCTAGACTAGGTAGGTTGACCCATGCCCCTGAGTTTAGATCAAAGAACTCGACAGCTGTCATGTTAGTGTGGAATCCATCAGAGCCACCGGAGACTACTACGCCCGGTCTTCCGTTCATGTTTACCTAGATCAGGAAGTAAGGAATAGAAGGGAGATATAACTAACGCAGTTCGCCCTACCATATGATTATACATGCTTTGCAGAAGGGTACTCCATTTGTATATGAAATATTTAAAATAGGTTATTGTAAACGAGGTAATTGTACATTAGACACATATTTCTTATTCAAACGGAGTACCGTCTTCAAGGCATGTATAATCATATGGTAGGGCGAACCACGTCAGTTATATCTCCCTTCTATGCCTTACTCCCTGAAATTGAGACAAGAATTTATTCCATCCTTTTACTTAGTTCAAAATTCCCGGCAGCTGTAATTTTGTCTTTTCTTTGTCAAAGGAACTTGAATCATTTAAACAAGCTTGAATTTAATTCATAGATAAAGATAGATTGCGCATAAGACGACATTTTTCATCTTGAAAGATATAAATGTACAGAGATGTTTTAAAGATATTCCTATTATAAAGATTAACTAGGTCGGTTGTGAACATTGGCTGTTCTTATGTCATTGAGTACTTGTGGTGTACATGAGTTCTGTAGAGAGAAATTTAAGTTAGTTTAGTCCTTCTCATGTCCTTCTTCAGTGAAATATTGTTGTTCAAATAGTTCCATTCCCGGAGTTATTTTACACTTGTTCTATGAAATCCCATTAAAACACCAAACCACCCCACTTATCATTGAAGTACACTTTGACCCCTAGAAGTATGAGTTCGCGGACTGTACAATTCTTGGTGATTTTGCGTATATAAGCTATCTATGTTTATTTATTTATCTATGATTTAATTCCTATATCTTTTTAGCAAACATGCTCGAAGAATAAACAATTGTCGAAATATTCAATAGCTCAAACAAAAGTAGGTCGGACATTTTAGCATCTTATTATAAAAATTCTAGCAGCATAGATTAAATGTGGTCGTGCTTATACCAGTGCCGATTAGGGTTAGCAAAACTTTAGCATGGTGTAGTAGGTAACCCAGTATTAGAATTGGTAACTCGTAATAATGAATGCTATAACACTGTTTTTGAAATAAAAAAAAATAATAAAATTAGTGCTTTTGAACCTTCGTGCAAGCATGCTGTTTCCTAGGATAAAGCATGCCGGGAAGAGAAAACCACTGTCCTGTTCCTAAAACCATCTTCATAACTGATCCTTCCCGTCCCTCTCCTCCTATCACCATCAGCTCAGGGCCATGCTTAGGATCCCTGAATAGATTAAGTTCACCTTATTTTAAGGAACTGTAAGCGCAATTTTTAGGCAGACGCTGAACTCCAACCTTCGAGTGTGCGAGGTGGGGAAGACGTCACTGCAGATTTTGAAATTTCGCTTACAGTCCCTTTCACAACACGAATTAGTTTCTCAACAATCTAGTGAAGTCAGAGATGGAGAACGCTCTACTATATTCATACCGGCCCGACCCTTTCCCAATACTATACATGGATTAATTTTATGTATGTATACATAAATCATCAATATTAAAAATAATTAGAAAATCATATTGAATATTGCATAACTTAAGTTACATAAAAGACGACTTTAATTGTAACTTTACGGTGTATCTATATATAGTACAGTAAGTTTTCAAAATGGCGGACCTGGTCATGACAGTACACTGGTCCCTCGTGGCAGATGGATTACTCCAACTTGGAATCTGTTTCCATCCTAGAAAAGCTCCTGGTTTGAAATTGAAACATATCAATGGATTTAAATGTGCTTTAACAAAATATTGCAGTAATAAAACTCTAGTCTACCAAATTTTACATTCGCGAATAGATAAAAATTTTACTTCTTCACATTAAATTTGATCAGTGAAAAACTGAAATTTTTATTTTCTTCGCATTGTCCATTTTCAATAGATGTTCTTTTATGTATAGCATTAAATCCTTCACCTTTGTCTGCTCTTCTTGAATCAAATATCTCTACTGAGGGTACAGGGTATCCAGACGGTGAAACCCCGCCTAGGGTTACCAGGTAGCTGCCAACACGAAGAGTTGACCCACCTTCACGAGCTGTGTTCAATTTTCCACCAGTAGAAGTCCAAGATTTTCTAGCAATAAAATAAATGTTTTTGAAGATTTATCAATAAACAAAAGTTTGCCAAAAAATTTCAAAGGACTTTAAAAGTTTTTAAAGATAAAAGGTAAAAGTTAAACGGAATAACAATTAATTTGATTTATCTTTTACATATTGTATTTTCTCAAACTAAATATACTGTCAGCAAAGGTCACAAACAATAATTTTTGAATTCCTATTCTTTGCAAGCTGTCTGAGGATGTCAACTTTAATACATTTTAAACTGTGATTATTTCTTAGACTTCATAGTTTGAAATATCAAAGGTCATGGGTTGCCAAGGTTTAAGGATGGGAAAATTGGAGTTTATTGCAAGTGCTCAGTTCCCTTCTGGCAATATCAATTGACTTTTTCGCAAGAAATTAAATTTTTATTCCATTTAAAAAATTTATGTTTGAATATTGCTACTTGGGAGATGGCAAATTGAAGTTGAAATGAGAAGTTTACATTAAAATTGCATCACCCTGTACTGTATAGTTTCAGCTATCTGCCTATCCAAAAAGAGTTCAGATATCGTCACTTTAAAAGGTTAAGGAGATGATAGATCTACACTTAATTCCCATGTTTATTGGGACACCCTGCACATTCTTTTTTTTATCCCTTCCCTTTATTCTCCTATAGTGTAATACAATCCCTTTATTCTCTTACAGTGTAATACAATCCCGTTATTCTCTTACAGTATAATACAATCCCTTTATTCTCCTACAGTATAATACAATCCCTATATTCTCCTGCAGTATAAAACAATCCCTGTATTCTCATACAGTATAATACAATCCCTGTATTCTCCTACAGTATAATACAATCCCTGTATTCTCCTACAGTAAAATACAATCCCTGTATTATCCTACAGTATAATACAATCCCTGTATTCTCCTACAGTATAATACAATCCCTTTATTCTCCTACCTGTTGAAATCGTAAGAATTGCAGGTTCCAGGAACGTATGTTTGAGGGAAAAATTGACCGAAGTTTTGTCCAGGATAAAATCCTTGAAAATAATTTTAATAATAATTTTTACTAAAGAATATTAGAAAAGATAACATTTTAAGGGACTGTTAACCTTTTTTTAAGTAACCCACCGTTCATGGATTGGCATGTCCGATTTAGAATGGTACTCTATAAACCTTTGTATAAGATAAACTGACTTTCTCCCATCTTAAAATTGTTTTTTTTTAATGCGAATATTTGGTTTTTAAAATTAAACGGGCAACGCCGGGCAATTCAACTGGTTTTATTAAATTGTATATATTCAGGGTTGCGTTCCATAACCAACCTTGAACCGGATATCCGGGTACACATGTGAGTAGAGATTGTCCTGTGAAGGTTGAGAAGGTTGCTCCGTTCCCCTTAACGTTAATTTTTAACCTTGGGTGTATTCATGAGCATTTAGGTTGCTTATTTTTTGTGTAGTTTTTTTGCCTTATTTCCTTTCCGGTAAAATTTTGCATATTGTACAAAAAGAGAAAATTTTTGCATATTGTGCAAAAAGAGAAAATTTTGGCATATTGTGCATGAAGAAAAAATTTGGGCATACTGTGCAAAAAGAGAAAATTTTGGCATAATGTGCAAAAAGAGAAAATTTTGACATATTTTGCAAAAAGAGAAAATTTTGGCATAATGTGCAAAAAGAGAAAATTTTGACATATTTTGCAAAAAGAGAAAATTTTGGCATAGTGTGTAAAAAGAGCAATTTTTGGCATATTGTGCAAAAAGAGAAAATTTTGGCATATTGTGTAAAAGAGCAAATTTTGGCATATTGAAAAAGCGCAAATTTTTGCATATTGTGCATGAAGACCAAATTTTGGCATATTGAAAAAGCGCAAATTTTGACATATTGTGCATGAAGAGCAAATTTTGGCATATTGTGCAAAAAGAGCAATGTTTTCAAAATTGTTTTTTCTATATTACACTATAAGCTAAATTTTTACCCGGACAGGAAATATATGAATAAAAAAGAAGCAAATAAACTTGCTGTAACAATCGTTTTTGAATTGTTTCTTTATATTTTCTTTCATTATAAAATATAGCAAAATTTAATAAAAGCAAACTTTTTGAAATCTTAGAAATTTTACTAAAAGTTAATTTTAAAACGAACCTAAACGTGGTTGCCATAAATGATTCACAAGAAGTTATTATGTTTGTGATATGGGATTTTTAATAAGCAACAAAAGAAATTCTTTCAACACCAACCATGTTAAAAAAGTTTAGAATTCTAATGCTTTATACTAAAAAACCATAAAAACGATTTTATGAGTTTCAGAATAAAAAACTGAAAACTTTTCACAAACTCACAAACTCTATTTTCTAATCCTTAAACCTTCGCAACATGATGGTGTAAACCTATGATGTTACAAACAACAAATACTGCTAGATAAAATTATACCATCGGGTTGCTAAGATATAAGAGAAATAAAATTAGAATTTGTGACAAGTTCCTTAGTATGATAACTGTAAACTGTAAACATTACTTACAACTTTGTAACCTCTTAGCTCTTCTAGTTTTCATTTTACGCTTAAGTGTGAGAAAACCAGATTTATCCGTGTCCGAATTTTATGAATTTGAGCCGTGTCATAAATCCACTAAAAACCGCGTTTAATTAAGCTCCGGCTTAAATCTTGAAACATTGAATACAAATTTAAGTGGGACCAACCATATTCAAGCCGCGACTTAATTTGGAGCCGCGGCTCAAATTCTTTAAATTAGGCCTCTGGTTTCATAATACAAAATCAAAACAATAGCTCTTTAAGAGGAGTTCCGATTAAGAACATATAAGATGTCAATCTGACGTGCTATTTACTTTTGTTTGACGTAAACCTGTGTCATAAAGGAAGGAAATGGAGATATAAGAGGTGCCCTTGGAACAGCGTAACTTCCTAAACATCGTTAAGATAAATCAGAAATCAAAAATAGTTCAAAAATCCACTGCAAACTTAACAGAAGGAGAAGATCAAATGAATGGTACATTATTGGTCCTACTTTGTGACCTCGTACCTCCTCTAGTTATGATTTTACGCAAACATTTAGTCTCCGACAAACCGATGGCGAACATATTTAGAATTATTTACCCGACATCTTCGCCATCGGCACATAAAGTCGGTAAAAATGTTTCCTGGGTAAGAAAACATCTTTATCTGATTACATATTAGAAATTAAAAACCTGTTTTCGTAATAGGTCCTTAATAAGACGAGTTATGACTGAAAATACAAAAGATTTTAATCTTTTACGCGCAATCTACTTAAGTTTGGCGTAAAAACAGACGAAAAAAAGTTAATATGTGGTTTAAAAAACAACAGCCGGAGTAAAAATCTGTATTTAAAACAAGAACAGTTGAGATAAAAACCTGTATTTAAAAAAAGAAACAGTTGGGATACAAACCTGTATTTAAAACAAGAACAGTTGAGATAAAAGCCTGTATTTAAAACAGAAACAGTTGGGATACAAACCTGTATTTAAAGCAGAAACAGTTGGGATACAATTTTGTATCCAAACCTGTATTTAAAATAGAAACAGTTGTAATACAAACCTGTATTTGAAATAGAAGCAGTTGTGATACCAACCTGTAATTGAAACAGAAACAGTTGGGATACAACCTGAATTTAAAACAGAAACAGTTGGGATACAAACCTGTATTTAAAACAGAAACAGCTGGGATTCAATTTTGTACTCAAAACAGAAACAGTTGGGATACAAGCTTGTATTCAAAATAGAAACAGTTATGATACAAGCCTTCATTTGAATAGAAACAGTTGTGATACCAACCTGTAATTAAAACAGAAACAGTTGGAATACAAAGCTGTATTAAAAGCAGAAACAGTTGGGATCTAAACCTGTATTCAAAGTAGAAACAGTTGTAATACAAACCTGTATTTAAAAATAAAAACAGTTGTGATACCAATCTGTATTCAAAATAGAAACAGTTGTAATACAAACCTGTATTTTAAACAGAAACAGTTGGGATACAATTTTGTATCCGAACCTGTATTCAAAATAGAAACAGTTGTAATACAAATCTGTATTTAAAATAGAAGCAGTTGTGATACCAACCTGTATTAAAAACAGAAACAGTTGTGATACCAACCTGTATTAAAAACATAAACAGTTGTGATACCAACCTGTATTAAAAACAGAAACAGTTGGGATACAAACCTGTATTTAAAACGTAAACAGTTGGGATACAAACCTGTATTTAAAACAGATACAGTTGGGATACAAACCTGTATTTAAAACATAAACAGATGGGATACAAACTTGTATTTAAAACAGAAACAGTTGGGATACAAACCTGTATTTAAAACAGAAACAGTTGTGATACCAACCTGTATTTAAAACAGAAACAGCAGAAACAGGGCCATTGGCATTACTTCCCCCCATTACACAGTAATAAAATCCTAAAACAATTAATTTTAGAAAATGAAAAAAGTAGGTCATTATGGAGGTCAACACTTTTTTGTTAAATAACGCTTGATCTCGATATCCACTATGGAAACTTCTGAGGGAGAAAGGCTTACTACCCCGATTAAAGTTATCCCTGCAGGCTACAAATACCACGGGATATCCAAGAGGAATTAAATTAATTTGTAGGTCTGCACAAAAACCTGATAACAATGCCTAACCTCCGGATTCTGTGCTCAACATTTTTGACCTCAAATAAAAATGTTTGACCTGGATTAGAGGGTGGACAGGTCGGACAGTTAGATTTACTTCCAGAACCATTATTAGTTCTTTTATTGTTTTTGTTGTTATTGTTGTTGTTGTTGTTGTTGTTGTTATTGTTTCTCCGATTATTATTCTTATTTTTGCTTTCTGCTTCAGGAAATTCTCCAAATACATCATCAAGAAGACCGTCATCAACATTGACTTTATCATCATCTTCATCATCATTATCATCATCATCATCATCATCATCACCATCATCATTTTCATCATCATCATCATCATCTTCTTCATCATAGTTCTTCTCGTCGTTTTCATTAAATCCTAAAATAAACTTTAAAATAACTTTTATTGTTTATCATAATTAAAATTAATCAGACGACTTTACAACCTAATTTGACTAAAATGATTGATGAAATGATAATCACTAAATAACCTGGCCTGCCATTTCCAAAAAGTCTGTTTTTTTGAGGCATTTCAAATTGCCATAGATATATGCCAAGTCACCTGATAAACTGTTAATGCATTCCGGGTCTTTCTGATCATGACTGTATTATTATTTAATTTTTTTCTTTTTACATTCATTTCCAATTAATTTTTTTTTCTTTTTACATTTATTTCCAATCAATTTATTTCTTTTTTTTCTTTTTACATTCATTTCCAATTAATTATTTTTTTTATATAATCTTCTACTTTATATGTCTTTCATAATTCTTATATTCTTACAATCCTTCCTCCATTTTAACACTTGTACGCCGATTATATACTTTGTTTTTTTAGCTATTTTTTCAATTTTTTAATTCTGATATTCTGGAAAATCAATTGACAAAATGTATTTAAAGGAGCTTGTATGTCTGATTCACAAGGGTACTCTGAAAAACCGATGAGTAATCAAGATCGAATGAGATATTCCGCTTTTCTTGTAGGAAATTTGATTTGCTGATCTATGCTACATAGACAATTCACTACCTTCAGATAGAGGTCAAAAGAAAAATAACAAATCTGAAAATGAATCTTATGTTTACACAACTTAAAGAAAACTTAAATAGTTAAATTGTTCAATCCCTAAAAATCTGACTGTTTTGTATTTATATTAAAGCTTAAAATCTTGAATGCATCTCATCATACTTTTCCATTATCCTTTTGTTACGTTTAAAGGGACTGTAAGCAAAATTTTAAGTGAACCTCCATGCAATGTCTTACAAAGTATGAATTAGATATCATAATTTTTTAAACTGATTATTTTTCCTTCGTCGTTAAGCACAGTTTTAAACATAAAAAAACCGACAATTTATGAAAATATATTTCACAATTTTGATCAGATAAAGGTTTCAAGGATAAATCGGATATTTCCATTTTTGCATGGAGGTTCACAATTGAAATTGCTCATTAAGTTCCTGCAAGTTATTTCTTTTTATAATACTAGCCTTAGAGGGCGCTTCGCGCCCATCTTCTAAATTAATTGTGAACATGTTCTCTTTGTGTACATCGTAAAACAAAACAAAAATAATTCGCGGATTTTCACAAAAAATTTCGTGGATTTTCAAAATTTTCAAAAATTTAATGAAGATCGAATTTTGATGGAGACAAATATTTGAAATTTTGATCATTCATAAACCTTCCCTGGGGTCCCTAAATGTCCCACAAAAAATTTTGGCCCGATCGGTTCAGCCGTTTTGACGTTTATTGGATACAAACAAACAAACAAACAAACAAACAGACAAGCCAAATTTATATATAGATATAAAAAAACTTCCTTCATAAGATCTAAAATTTTCGTTCGCAGAAAAATTAACAACAATTTATACAAAAAAATGAAGATCTTCATAATTGAAATTTTTCTCAATTGCAAATTCTGAACTCTTTAAAATGTTAAATTTCTAATTTATTTATTCTTTAAGGAACTGTAAGCTCACTTTTATATTCATCCATGCATCCATACCTGATTCACTATTGTACCCTTAAAAGCTTTGTCTAATCAAGGAGATCAAGTGCGATTTATAATTTTGAATTATTGAGGTTTTCCTTGAAAAGTAACTTGCGTAATATATAGAAATTACTATAGAATTACTCAAAACAATTATTAACCTTGAGAAACATCAATATCTTTGCACATTTTGATGAGACAGAGGGTACTGTTGTGAATCGGGCATTGTCATATTTGTATGTAGGGTCACTTGAAATTACACATCCCACTAAATGTACCTCCATCCCCGCCATAAGGGTCCATATCCTCCTCATCCTCCTTATTCCTAGAATCCTTGCTCCCAACCTAAAAAAAAATTCCAATGCAAAAAACTTTCAAATGCATGCAAGTTTCTTGTGGAGGATTATTTCAGAAATTTGTTTGCTCTTTTTTAGTCTTTGCCTAAATTTTCTAATTCCCATATCTTTGCAATCCAATTTAGACCTTTGATATTTCAAAATATGAATTTTGTTAGATCAAATAATATAAGTTTGAAATATCAAAGAATTCCTCCATCCGGTTGCAAAGGTATAGGGATTGGGAAAAAATTGAGTTTTTGGCTAAATCTCATTGGTTATTTAATCTACAGAGATCTTCAAGACAAAAAAGTTAGAAACATTTTATTAATTTATAAATTGTTCAAACATGTGATTTTGAATGCAGAGTTTTATTTTTTCAAATAATCCAATCTCTGAACGATAACACCCAGCCCAAATTAAAATCCATGTCTTTCATGTGTTTTTAATAATACTAAGCATGTTTGCTCGCCTATGAACAATCATAACATGGGCTTTGAGATTACATTTAACATTATATATAATAAGTATACATAATATACCTTATTTCCAGTGTTTTTATTGGTTTCCGGAAGAAAGCAGGTAGGACAGAGTGCAAAACAAGTTCCGCTGTACACAACCAACATGTGGCTCGTAGCAAATGCAGTAGCTAAGACTTAAGCAAAGGCAAAGGCACAAGCAAGGGTTAAAGGAATTGGGTCTTTGTCACAAACTTTGATATTATACGATTCCCATATCTTTGCAACCCAATGTAGACCTTAGATATTTCAAACTATGAATTATTTTTAGAACAAATAATTCAAGTTTGAAATATCAAAGATTTCCACCATATTATTAGGTTGCAAAGATATAGAGATTAGAAAATTTGTAAAGACCCAATTCTTTTTCAGTTGCAAAAGCATTAAATTGCAAACATTCTGATATCTAATAAAAGTTTTAGTGTCTAATTTCAATAGAAGTTATATTTAAGTGGAAGTATTTATGTTGATTTCCTTAGGCATCGGGGTCGTTTATTTGCCTACAATAAACCATGCATGACTAATATTAGTGTGCATTAATTTGAATTAAAAAAATTGTACAGTGATAAATTTCGCGATAAAAAATGAAATTTGAATTTTGAACAATTTTTCGCGAAATGTTTGCATATTTTGTTTTTTTCCGCATAGTTTTCGATTCTTTTCGCAAAATTTATTTTCGCGAATTATCTTGAAAAATTTTACGCAAGAAAATTTTCGCGAAGGTTTTCGTTCACTGGAAACCCAAAGTAAAATATGGATGCTTTTAAAAATAGAAAATATCCTGGAGAAAAAAACTTATTTTTAAAGTCCAAAAAAGTAATCGAGTAATGCCATGAAATACCAGATCAGAAGGTTAGATTAAACATTCCAGTAAAACTTAATTGTTTGCCGGTAACAAATGGAAAGGATAGGTTAGAACTCAGAAATTAAAAAGCTTAAATTGTCTTAAGGAATTCTTGGAATAGAATTTATTCGCTAGAATTGTGTTCGACAAAAAAATAGATTTTTTATCTTTTGTTGCAGAAAATTAAGTATTTTTTAAATCATTAGTGCAGCTAAAAGCATAGCAAAAAAAATATTTGTATGCAGCATGGTCGGCGTTTATATAAACACAATGAAGACAACTTTTCTATTAAAGTTTGGTTTAAATTTGAAATCGAAAGTATTGATATGTACGACAACCACTGAATTTTACTTGTTTACTTACGTTTTCTGGTAAAGAATTTAGTCCTGGCTCGTCTTGTCCATTTCTGGCACATTCATTTTTCTTGTTAAAATTTCAGAAACATACAGGGTGTCCCACGAAACATGACAGTTGATAAATCGTTATGAATGTCGTCTTCCTTATACTGTATTAGATATTAAAGGCTTTTTGCAGTTTATTTCGTTAGAAAAATCTTTTGTTTAAATATATTTTACTTTGAAATCAATTTTACCATAACATGACTCCCATATAATATTTTTATTATTGTCTTTGGTATTAAACAACTTAACAAATTATGGAAGAAGACATTCTAAACTATTCACCAACTGTCATGTTTCGTGGGACACCCTGTATTTAAAGATATTACGTAAACTAGCTAAAAAATTACATTGTATCGGAACATTAATTCTCTAATTCAAAAATAAATTAAGAGAATTTATGCACTTTAATATTTGAAATAATTATCCCAAGAAAAAAGTATAAATAGCTAAAACGAAAAGTTCATATTAAATAGGTAAAACATAGGTTCTAAAGTTATGGCTCAATTTTAATAAAGAAATCTAATTTACCGAGCAATGCACATAAAAACATAAAAGATTATTTGATTTATATTTGTAAGAAACTATATTTTATTGTAAAACTAATTTAACTCTTTAAGAAATCAATTCTAGTTTTTGACATTTAAAATTCTTTTGCTGTAAATTCCTCTCTGTAAAGGTTTGGAATATTTTTAAAAATGGTGAAATACAGTTATGAATATGACTCAGAAAGGTGGAATAGCCTCATGTTAGTCTCAAGTTAGGAAACCCAGTAGTTTTGTGCAGTGCACACAGACCCATGATTCAGTTAATAAGTGAATATTTAAGCAACTGGTAGAACTTCAGAGTGTCCCATATCATATTAGATTACCTCCACAAGCTTTAACGCTAAAATAAAACCTTCATACTCGAAAAAACTAGTAATTTTTCGTTTTGCAAGAAAATTCTTATAGTAGCATTATTCAATTTTTCAAAATGATTCTTTTTTCTTAAATTTTCTGATTAGTCCCGAAAATCGTAATTTAGACTGATTGACGGTCTAATATGATGTGGGACACCCTGTATTTGGTTTCAAACAGCACTATAAGTACACAAAAGAATGCTTAAATGTCGTCTTCCTATTCCATAGTTTTATGGAATCCATGTTGTAAAGAGTAGAATAAATGTTTTCCTGAGAGGCTGTCTCTGACAACTGTTAAAAAATAGACATTCTTATTTCCCGTATTTTTGTTTTTAGATTTTTTTTGTTTAAAGATAAAAAGTTTTTATTTCATGTCTATTGTTTGCCTGGATATTCTTGGGTATGGTGGTCCACTTAGACAATCACTGAAAAATATCATGGTTGTTAAACACACTTGCTAAGAAGTAAGCATAGAGAATAGAATATATAGAGAGGAATTAAAAGAATCTCTCGGAATGAAATTTTTCAGTCCCTTTCAGCCTGAAAGGGAGTTCAAAGTGTACAAATCATGTAAATGTTCACAAATTATATGCAGTAGAGTACATTAATACAGTATGTTTATGTTTTCACTGTAAACTACGGTTCATTTCTATTACCGGGCCGATTTTTAGCCAACCGGGAGAGTAAACCAGGTTTACTGAATCAGTCCTGTCTAGGGAGATTCTTGTGTACTGTAGTAACGACGACATTCTGCTACCTGCAAGGTTTGACGGGCTGAGAAGATTGAAGTAACTACGACATTCTGTTACCTCCAAGGTTTGACAGGCTGAGAACATTTTAGTAACAACGACATTCTATTACCTGCAAGGTTTGACGGGCTGAGAACATTTTAGTAACGACGACATTCTGTTACCTGCAAGGTTTGATGGGCTGAGAACATTGTTTGAAGAGAACACAACGAGAATCTGGTGATAAGAAATGACTACAAGTATGCAAGCTCAGCAAATTATGTTTTGAAATATCAAGATTTTGATTTTGAGAAATAATACAGTGGGACCCATAAATCTGTGGAATAAGAAGACGACTTTTGAAATAGTCCAATGAATATGAAAATATCAGATGGCATAAAACAAGAGTATACATAACAATGAGAGGAATAAGAAGAAGAAGGGAAAATAAGAAATTTTTTAGGAAATATGAGAATGAAAATAACCGAATAAGATCAGAATAAGATTGATAAGCATTAGTTTGAAAATGCTGAGAATAAGAATATGACTGATATTAAGAACAAGATAATGAAACTAAGCATAAGTATATAAGAATAAGACTGCAAAGAGGGAAAATTATAAGAATCAAAAACAAATTTCTGCAATCCTGAATTTCACGCATGAATCTCGTTTAAAGCAAAGTGCCTAAAACAAAAAGCATAATTATATAACACATTGAGATAAAAAAGAAACCAAAAAAATTAAAAATATAAATTTTACAAAAAAAAATTCTGACGGCATTCCATGCACCATGACTATGTGAAAAGATGAGAAGATAGACTAAGGATGAGAACAATACCTCTAATTATACAATGAAAAAAAACCTGCACAACCATAATTGACAAATTAAATTACAAGCAAGTAACAACAAAATAAAAAGAGAACAAAATCCGGAATCCTAAAGATATTTCAAACTATTAATTCTGTTATATAAAATAATCTTATTTAAAATGTCAAAAGTTTACACCATCAGGTTGCAAAGATAACTGGATTAGAAAATTTGAGTGTGCCAATGTTTTATGTTTAATTTGTGAAATTGTAAAAAGAGTAAAAAGAAAAGAGAAAAAGAGGGAGTTGGAGGGGGAGAAAAGAGAAAAGAGAAAAAAGGAGGAGATGGAGGGGGAAAAAAGAGAAAAAAGGGGGAGAAAAGAGAAAAAAGGGGGAGTTAGAGGGAGAGAAAAGAGAAAAAAGGGGAAGTGGGAGGGGGAAAAGATAGGGGATGAGTAAGAAAGGAGAAGGAAAGAAGAAGAAATGAGAGGAAGGATTAATAAGGAAAAAAGGGGGGAAGGGAAAACGGGCGAGGAAAATGGTAACAAAAAGGGAACAGGTTGGAGAAAGGGGAACAAGAAAAAGGAAGGTGGGAGG